TGTTGATGAAAGCAATAAGTGGTTGCTTGGGAGGATGGATGGAGAATCAGATGAAGATAATGAGCCTGTGTTTGATGATGATGATGGCTTGATGTGGGCTACTGTTGCTAGAGCTTTTGGAGTAGAAGAAAGTAGCCATGCAAGTAGAGCAACAAGTTCATGCTCAAAGGCACAACCGAGGATATCTAAACCATCAACATTGACTCCACTTCAATTAATAGATGAAGAGGAAGCGGGCTCAGATGACACAGAGGAGGAAGATGTTGAGGGATACAAATCAACTGATGGAGAAGAAGATGATAGTTTGCTTGCCATTGATGTTGAGGATGATGATTGACTGACACCGACCTAACCTACCCTTTCTTTTGATATTGATGTTTTTAACTGTTAAGTTAAGACATATATTAATATTTGTTGGATATTTATGTTTTGGATGTTTAGTGTTTATGTTTTTATTATATTGAATGTGGATTATTTGATCTTTGAAAATTGGAATGTTATGTAATATGCACTTTCATGGCTTTGAGAATTATTCTATATTTTGTCTTGAATCTTGATTACTTTTTATTTTTAAAAAAATTGTCTTACTACTATGAATGATTAGTCTATATTAATTTTTCTATTTTTTACGAATACTGTGCGCCTTACTTTAATAAAGCCCGCGCCTCGCCTTGCGCCTAGGCTCCAAGAGACCTTTGGCGTCTTAGTGCGCCTTGAGCCTTTAAAAACACTGACGAAGACTGGAAGTAGAAGAATCAAAAAACCATTGGCCAGATCAGACAATGGATCGATCACAGTGTCTTCCACTATGTCGCCCAGGAAACTAATGCCTATGCTCTCTGGACGAAGTTAGAAGGCATGTATCAGTCGAAGACTGCTTGGAACAAAGCCCTCCTGATGAGAAGACTTGTGAATTTGAAGCTGAAAGGCGGTATCTCTGTTGCTGAACACACCAGTGAGTTTCAAAATCTGGTGAACCAATTGGTAACTGTCAAAATGGAGTTAGATGATGAGATACAAGCCCTTTTGCTGCTTAGTTCTTTACCAGACAGTTAGGAGACGTTGGTGGTGTCCCTCATCAACTCTGCACCAGAAGGAAGACTGACCACGAACATGGTCACTGATGCTTTATTCAGTGAAGAGGCAAGAAAGAAAGATATGGGTGGAGATCAGTCCCATGCCATCGTCACAGAAAATAAAGGCAGAGGCAGAGGCAGAGGCAGAGGTAGAGGAAGAAGCAAAAGTAGGGGATGCACCAGAGGAAGATCTCAAGACAGAGAGAAATCCAGAGAAAGTATGAGTCGGCCAAGGTTCAAGTGTTACCATTGTGGCCAGGATGGTCACATAAAGAAATATTGCTATGCCTTGAAGGGAGAACAAAAACAAGGCAATAGACGGCCAAAGACCGAAGATGGGAGCACTGCAGTTACTATCTCAGAGGATATTGCATTATTCTCTGTTGAAGAAGAAGAATGCCTCCATATGTCAAACAACGACACCGAGTGGGTGGTAGATATAGCAACTTCCTACCACACTACATCTCGAAAGGAGTTTTTCAGTACGTACCAAGCTGGAGATTTTGGTAGAGTGAAGATGGATAACTCCAGTTTTTCGAAGATTATGGGGATTGGTGATGTTTGCATCCAAACCAAAGTTGGGTGCACGATGGTGTTGAAAGATGTCAGGCATATTCCGATTTACGCTTGAATCTTATCTCAGGGATAGCCTTAGATCGACAAGGCTATGAGAACTATTTCGGCAAAGGCATATGAAAGTTGAAAAATGGATCTCTAGTGGTAGCCAGAGGACAGGCAATTGGCACGCTGTACAAGACTCATTCGGAGGTGAATTCAGATAGCCTCAACGCGGCAGAAGATGAGGCATCACCAAATTTGTGGCACAAAAGGTTAGGTCACATGAGTGAAAAAGGGTTGCAGATTCTAGCAAAGAAGTCTCTTATTCCCTTTACCAAAGATGCGAAATTGGATTCTTGTGACAGCTGCTTATATGGGAAGCATCATAGAGTTGTTTTCCACTCATCATCCAGAAAACAATCAGAGTTGTTAAGCAGAGTATATTTTGATGTATGTGGTTCCATAGAAGTGGAATCTTTGGGTGGCAGAAAATACTTCCTGACGTTTATTGATAACGCATCACGGAAGGTATGGGTTTATGTCCTAAAGACCAAAGCTGAGGTGTTCCAGCATTTTTAGACATTCTATGCTATGGTGGAAAGGGAGACCGGAAAGAAGCTGAAGTGTCTCTGAACAGACAATGGAAGCAAGTACATGTCAAAGAAGTTTAAAGCCTACTGTGCTGCTCGTGGCATTCGGCATGAGAAGACTGTTCCTGGAACTCCACAACACAATGGTGTAGCCGAGAGAATGAACCGGACCATTGTGGAGAAAGTCAGATGTATGCTTAAAATGGCAAAGCTGCCAAAGCCATTTTGGGGAGAAGTTGTTCATGTTGCTTGCTATTTGATCAACAGATCGCCATCCGTTCCACTGAATTTTCAGATTCCAGAAGAAGTATGGTCTGGAAGGGAGATTTCTTACTCTCACTTGAGAGTGTTTGGGTGCAAAGCATTTGCACATGTATCCAAGGAGCACAGACAGAAGCTGGATGATAAAGCTACTCCATGCATCTTTGTTGGCTATGGAGATGAAGAATTTGGATACAGATTGTGGGATCCGAAAAACATGGTCATTCGAAGCCGAGATGTGGTGTTTCAAGAAGGCCAGACCTTAGAAGACTTTGGGCAACTAGCCAAACCCAAAGTTGATGATGTTTTAGAAATTATTCCCAATCCTACACTATCACAGCATGCCACTAATGAAGAAGAGCTACCGCAACATGCAGTCAATGATGTAGAGTTGCATGATGGATTTCCAGAAGAAGAAGATCCAGAAGAAGAGAGTGTTGAGTAGGGGGAGCCACAACCCCCTCCGCTAGAGATTGTTGGTCCACAATTACGAAGATCAACAAGAGAGCCTAAGCCATCGTCAAAATATCCTACTTCTGAGTATATGTTGCTTATTGATGAGGGGGAACCAGAAAGTTTCTAAGAAGCTCAGAATCATAAAGAGAAGAGTAGCTGGCAGCAGGCTATGCAAGAAGGGATGCAGTCCTTGCAGAAAAACTAGACTTATGATTTGGTAAAACTTCCCCAGGGTCGAAAAGCATTGCAGAACAAATGGGTGTTCAAGTTGAAAAAAGATGGCAGCGGGAAGCTAGTCAAGTATAAGACTCGATTGGTTATCAAAGGTTTTGGGCAGAAGAAATGTATTGATTTTGATGAAATTTTCTTGCCAGTTGTGAAAATGACATCCATTCGAGTAGTCTTGGGACTAGTGACCAGTTTGAATTTGGAACTTGAACAGATGGATGTGAAGACAACATTTCTCCATGGTGATCTGAAGGAAGAAATTTACGTGGAGCAACTAGAAGGTTTTGAAGTCAAAGGGAAAGAAAACTTAGTCTGCAGATTGAAGAAGAGTCTCTACGGTCTTAAACAAGCGCCGAGACAGTGGTACAAGAAGTTTGACTCATTCATGGTGGGTTATAAGTACAAGAGAGCTGCTGCAGACCAGTGTGTTTATGTTAGGAAATTTCCTGGTGGAAACTTTATCATACTCTTGCTCTATGTTGATGACATGCTGATCGTTGGACAGGATGCCACAACAATTAGATCACTAAAGAAGGAGTTATCACAGTCCTTTGACATAAAGGACCTAGGTCTTGCACAGCAAATTTTGGGCATGAAAATTGTGCGTGACAGGAAAACCAAGAAGTTGTGGCTGTCATAGGAGAAGTACGTTGAATGGGTAATTGAGAAGTTCAACATGAAAGCCAGTCAGTACTCTGCTGGCTAATCATTTCAAGCCGAGCAAGAGTTCTTGTCCCTCTTCTACAAAAGAAAGAGAAGAGATGGAAGCTATTCTTTACTCATCCGCTGTAGGGAGCTTGATGTATGCAAATAATGCAATGGTGTCCACCTGACCAGATATTGCTCATGTTGTTGGAGTAATAAGTAGATTCTCTTCCAATCCAAGGAAAGAACGTTAAGAAGCAGTCAAGTGGATTCTGTGCCTCAAGGGTACGGCAAAAATGTGTTTGTGCTTTAGAGATGCTAAACCAATCTTGGAAGGCTATACGGATTCAGATATGGCGGGAGATCTTGATGGTAGAAAATCTACGTCAGGGTTTCTGTTCACTTTCGCAGGGGGAGCTGTGTCTTGGCAGTCTAAGCTGCAGAAGTGTGTTGCTTTATCCACAACCGAGGTAGAATATATTGCCGCAGTAGAAGCTGGGAAAGAAATGTTGTGGTTAAAGCGGTTTCTCCAAGAGTTGGGACTAAAGCAAGAAAAGTTCACGGCACATTGTGATAGCCAGAGCGCCATAGACTTGAGCAAGAATTCTATATACCATTCTCGCACAAAGCACATTGATGTTTGGTATCATTGGATACGCGAAGTGATGGAAAAGTAGTTATTGGAACTAATCAAAATCCACACAGATAAGAATCCAGCTGACATGCTTACAAAGGTGGTCTCGAGAGAAACTTGAAATGATGGGCTTCAAGTGAGAAGTTAGTCATGCATGTGGGTATGGAGGGGGAGAATTGTTGCTCCAACCCCATGCATGCATGCAGAGAGTCATGCAAAGATGGCGTATAAGGACTTTCATCTCAAGTGAAAGTCTGAGCTGGGCATTTGCAAGACTCTCCATTCTCTTCACGTTGTTGCCTTTGTTGATTCTCACCATTAACCATTACAGAAGGTAGAAATTTTTGGTGGGTTGGTATCTCTCTCTCTCTCTCTCTCTGTGTATAAATAGAGACGGGAGGGAGAGTATGAATTGTATTAGAAATTTGAGAGAGAGAGCTGGGAGTTGAGTGAGAAGAGTTGTTCTCCTCCTTTGTTTTGTTTTGCTCTGGCTTAGTGAAACTCTCATTTCTGCTCCGTGGATGTAGGCATTGGGCTGAACCACGTAAAATTTGGCGTCTCAATTGTGTGTGATTGTTTGTTGTTTATCTTTCTGGGTGTCCATGATCTTAACAAAGCTGTATTAGAGTCGATTTTGTGCGTTTTTGGATATTTCTTTTCTCACTTATCAGTTTTTCTTTTTTCTTTTGGTTGTAATTATTGTTTATTTTTAAATTGATTTCATGCATTGTGATGTTTCTTATAATTCCCAATAAATACAAGGCACAATATGAAAAATATAGAATCATCGGAACACAAATTGACAGCTATGGTTATCCTAATATTGTTGTTTTTGGTTTGTGTTTGTTAGGTTTATACAATTCAGTTAGATATTGCTTTATGCCATAAATACGACCTGGAATTTCTTGCCATCTCCCCATTGACTATTGGCTGCATTTTATGCAATTTACTTTTTGCATTTCTTAATTAAGTTTCTTTCATAAAGTGGTAGGTGTAGTTGCACATATATATAGCCTTTAATCTCTGAAGAACTCGTTATCTTGCCGAGTGTGCTACAAGTCTTAAAGGATTAGGGTCGAATAGAGGTAACCTTTCCATTACCTGATTTGAAGGTACTAAAACTATATATTATAAACCAAACCAAACTAAACCAAGACTTAAGTCCCATCAAATGGGGTTGGCTACCTAAATCCTTCTTATCCACTCTACCTAAATCCTATATATTATAACTATAAGAATTATTAATGAGTTTTTCTTCTATATTGAAGATTGAAAGTTTCTTGATCATTGTTAATATACTCATTTCCAGGTTACATGGTCTCGACTGCTACTTTATCACATAGACTGGGTGGTCTCTATTGCCTTCACTGCCTCTATGATGTTCAACCATTCAAACCTCCATTCAAAATTTATCTCTCTATTGGTATATTTGCAATTCTTTTCCTCAAAATATTATTCAATCACTATTTGCCTCATCATTCTTCACAAGATTATGAAGCAATTTCTTCTGATCTGCAAACAAGTTATTCATTGTATGGCTTTCAAATATACTTTAGGATGTTTTTGCCTACTATGCTGGTACTAAATTATATATTCATGTGCTTCAAATTGATATCTTTTATTTTCTACTGGTACAGATATAGAGATTTATTATCATTTATTCAACAGAAATCAACTCCATCCCAAATCATATGTATCATTATTTCTTACAGCTTTCAAATATACTTTAGGATGTTTTTGCCTACTATGCTGGTACTAAATTATATATTCATGTGCTTCAAATTGATATCTTTTATTTTCTACTGGTACAGATATAGAGATTTATTATCATTTATTCAACAGAAATCAACTCCATCCCAAATCATATGTATCAATGTTTCCCTCATTGCCTCAATTGTGACCTTTCTGCCTTTCGTGTTTCATATTAGTAACTTATATTTGAGACCTATTTCTTCCGACTGTTAAGAGATATGGATCTTACAACACATGACAAAATCAGCACAAAGCTTGAACATGATATGATAACTAGTGCATCTGCCGTTTCTGTCTTCCTGTTTCCTCTTCTTTTTTTTTTTTTCTTTTTTCTTTTTTTTTCATTAATTTTTCTTTCAACCATGCTTTTGATTTCCATTTGACAGGGGAGCTGAAGAGGCTCAAAAACCTTCTTGTTGATGCGAAAGGAAATAACATAAAAGTAGTATCTGCTTTGGTCAAAAGGATGTTGGAAAGGAACGTGTTCCTTTTTGGGTTTTTGGACATAAATGAAGGCTCTGTAACAGAGAGAATAAATGAACTCACAGATATACAGAATGCCCGCATTCAAGTTTCCCATAAAAAGTATATTTCAGCTCTCGATTCTTTTTATTATTAGTATTTTTTAAACCTCCAGCTTTGTAGTTGCTCACTGCCTTTCTTTCCATTCAACAGGTTATTTTCAAATACACAGATTGAGCAGTTCATCAACATGGACCTGGTAAGTTCTATGGCAATCTGTGATATGTTGAAAACAGAAATCAATGACTAATTTTGGATTCAAACATGGCATGGAGTGGAAAATAGTTGGAATGTTGAGTTTAGTATTAATATCTTTGATTTATCAGAATTTCAAGGCAAGAATACAATAGAAGTGGTAAAAACAAAATCTTTGAAGAATTATTGTAGTAAACTTGTTTTTAATAGTATATTTGCTACTATTTCAAAGAATTTAGTGCAGAGCTTTTGTCAAATTGTTTGATGAAAATATAAGGAGCTTTTGTGATACTTGTAATGGTTTTTCTAGGACTAGCTGTGTAGAGTATTATTATGCATAAAGTGGCTACAGTTTATGATCAATTTTCAATAAAATTGGCAATAAATTGTTGAGGTTGATTTTAGCTAGTAAAGTGGTGATTTGGTGGTAATCAACTGACCTAAACTAAGTTTTAATTAATGATTTGATTTGATAAAGTAGTGATTTTGTGGTAATCGTCTCGTCTTAGCAGATCATGTTTTAACCTTTTGCTCTAGCCATGGATTTCCTCCAAAATGTCTCTTCTTATTTTGCTTTTACTTTTTCTTTACTCTTTAATCTTCATCTGATTTGATATTTATCTTCATCTTCAATCCTAAGGAGCTAAATCCAAGTCCCACATATTCTAGGGTATGGAACTCGAAGTCAATGCTTTGAAGAAAATGTCAACAGAATATGCAGCGGCCAGGGAAATAGCCATCAGTGGTACCTTGATACAACTACTCTCTTCTAATTTATCGAATGGTTAAATAGAATAATGTTTCTTGTGGATTTCTGAATGGTTCACCCGTCATGCGCCATGAGGTGCTCATGCACATCAGTCTGATAGGTGGGCCCAAGCGGACTTCAAGCAAACGTAATCTCCTCTTCACATTCTGAATGCCATTTGCTTTTGTGATCTTATTAGTTGATTTCAGTTTGTTGACTTGTGACATGAGTAATTAACTCAATATGGGCAACTGGGACTAGCTCAGTTTTTTTTTTTGATGATCGGGAATCAAGTCCTAGGCATTGACCAACTATCAGGGGGGCCGGCAATAGTAGAACTTGGGTTGGGCATGTGGGGAGCAACCCGATGACCAACTAGACTATCTTCTCAGGGGCTTAGGAGGTCAAGGTTTCGATTTGAGGCCTCTTCCCCCAGACTACGATATGTACCAAAAGAAATAAAATAAAAATAACTTAGTCTAGGCATTGTGACAAAAATCCTTTTACTCCAATACCAAAGATAAGGAAGGGAAGCTCAAAATTGAATCCAAATGTTTTCAACAAAATAAAATACTTTGTTTGCATATATAGATATATATTTCATGAATGAGTTAATAACATCCAAATTATTCGTTATTATATTTTTGGCTCAATTCCATTATGCTTTTTTGTTTGATTACCCAAAATCTGTTACATTGTTAACCTACCATAAATATTTTTAAAAGTTCAAGTAAATTAGTTTTGAAACTAGAACTTAAAACTATTTCCAAGATAGTTTCAAGCATGTTATTTCCATCTGGCCTACTTGGACTTTTTATTTTGTTTAGTTGAATGTCTCTTCGTCAATTGTGTTCATTAGTAGTCTCTTTCAACTTGTTTTTCCTGTTGAAGATGCTAGTGAGGTCATGGATGTCCAAAACATAAAGCACATAACAGAAACTAAGAGACTGATCGGAGATGTGGTGGAGAAGACTGTGCAAGACTGGAATGTCCAGAAAGAATTGTTTTGTCAGCAAACGGGGCTGGACCACCGTGATGACCAAGGACCTCAACAACCACAAGACAACGAAAACTTTGGACAACGGAAAGATGATGTGAACTTTGAACAGGAAGGCGATGAACATTTTGAACAGCAGGATGATGACGAAAACTTTGAACCGAAAGATGATGAAAAGTTTGCTGAGGAGCTGGAACAATGGATGCTGTCTGTTGAGGAACTGTAACAAGAGATAAATTGTCTGGTGAAGAACTTGAACAATAGGTACTGTTTTGTGAAGAGCTGTAACGAGTCCGTGCTCAAGGGTCAATCAAACTACGGACCATGGATGTGAAGCAGGAATATAATCTCATGGTTTGCGGAACAGAGAATTTTTTTTGACACGGTTGAGGAAGGTGTTCATCTGAAAGGACTGAGGACAGTTGCTGAGTGAATTTTTATCAGACTGCGTTTGTTATTTCATTTGGTTCTTGAATGTGTAATCTGATACTAGTTTATGATGGTTGGAGCTTAGGTATGTAAATCAGAAATTGTTGCTTATTTGAAGAAGCAAGTATTAGATTTCTATGTATATATACATCTTGAACCCATTTTGTATTTATTAAAGGGTTATGACAATGAAGGAAATTAGTTTTGAAGTTTTGCTAGTTCAAATTTTCAAGTGAATTTGTTTATGATGACAGTTACGATAAGGCTTAGTTTGGATGACAGGAATTTGAGGGAGAATGAGAATATGATTCTAGCATTAGAAACAAAACAGAATAGATAAGTGAGTGTCATTTTTTAATGCTGTGTTTGGTTGGGAGATTTAAAGAGGGATTTGGAAAGGGAAATAGAAAAGATAGGTGAAATGTGAATAAAACATGCCCATATTTCACCTAGTTTCACACACCTTTTTCCTTTCCTTTTCTAAATCCCTTTCTAAATCTCCCAACCAAATACAGCGCAAAGGAATCACATTTTTAACAACTGTTTGCCGTTGGCTAATAAAGTTGGCTTTGGGAAATAAGTCGAAAAGCAAAAAAATGTTTGGCTTGAGGTAAATTTTATTTATTTATTTATTTCAAAAAGTCTTTTTTTTTTTAACAATTACTGAGAGTATCGATTTTTTGGAAAAAGCAAAGAATAGCAATTGTTAAACTCCACCTAAGTAGGAATCTAATTTCCCTACTTCTCACAACAATCTCACATTCTTAGAGAAATTTTAGTCATTTAAGAGTAAAAAATAATAATTAGATTCATAACATTTAAAATTTTATTATTTTATTATTTTGTCATACAGAAGTCTTGAATTGTAAATCAAAACACAAAACATGCAGCGGAATAAAATCATCAGATCATACCTTTTGATGATAGAACCTCGTGGATAAATCACGTGCTTCCAGAATCAGATCAATCAATCCCAGCAGTGGGGTGATATTACAATGGTGAATATCACCCACACAAACCACAGTGCAACTGACTTGATCGTTGTTTCTTGGGAGAGAGTCAGTATATGGGTAGAAAACAGACTCAACGTTGTTTTCTCTCTTGGTTACCCATAACCATATGTCAGATATAAAATATATTTATCTCATTTATCCATTGGTTAAATGAGATAATATCTGATATCTATATCATCTATCCATATCATGATATGATAGATATATATCCTGAGTGGCTCATCCAAATAGGTTTGAATTCAAATTCAAAACCCATTTGGATGAGGTTCAAAAGGTTCTAAGGGTCATGCCACATGGGCGCCCAATTTCTAACATGAATAAACTAAACGCTTGAATAGAATTGACATATGAATCTTATTACCAGTAGTGAGATTCCCAAAACCACTTCAAGATTTACATCCAAACAATAGCCTAATTATGATTAGCTAAATAAACTCAATTATGAACACTCTCTTTCTTTTGAAATTCAATTTTTCCTTTGAGCATTTGTGATTAAATTTGCTCACAATGAACACTGGAAATCAATTCTAGATTATGTTCGGATTACAAGGATTGAAGAGTCAAAAAAAATTAAAATGTTTGCCATGTATCTGCTTGGCAAGAGTTTTTTTTGGCTATTTTAGCCACGAAAGACAAAATATGCTATTTTGGCCACAACAAACAAAACATCACATCCAACCCATAATCATTACACTATTCTCTCACAAAAAAAAGTCAAAAAGTCAAAAAACTCTTCCCAAACCAAACTTTTTAGCCTAGGCTAAAATAGCTAAAAAGCCAACCCACTTCCCAAACAGAAAAAAATTGACTTCTACCAATATAAAAAGACTAACATACTCTTACATTAACTTTTTCTATACAACTAAACCAAGGATAAAATGAACATTTCAAACAAAAAGTAATTAGATTACATCAATTTTTCACATTTTTATATACATTAATTTGTTTTTATTTTGTTAGCCTTTTTAATCTAAAATAAAAAAATCTTAAAATCTAACTCTAAAATGATCTCATTCTCATTTCTCTATTGAACTCATTACTATTTATTTAAATCTTATCTCTTTTGGTTTGTGTTGATGATTGACATAATCTCCATTGCTAATTTATATTAATCTTGAAAATTCAATTTCAATATTGACCCTCACTCCATAAAATTTTGTTATAAATTATTTACTATTTTTCCCTTTTTTTCTATTTAATCAACATTTGTTTATTCACAATTTCATTAATAATAATAATAAAAAAAAACCATTTTGAAGTTTCAAATTTTGAATGGGGATCAAAAAAAGGTCAAAAACCACGATGCAACACCAGTCAGGCTAAAGTGTTCGAACCATCATGAAAATGGGTCCAACCCAAATTACTCAAAATTCGATGACTCTCACTGTTACTCTATTCCTCTCGCGTACCACCTCAACCAATAGATCACCGTTCAATTAATCAAACTCAACATAGTCCACACAACTCGCGGCTGATCTCATAAAACACACAGCTCACTCATACTCCACGCAACCACCAAGGATCCTCTAGAGTGAAATTTTTCTAAAGTTTCCTAGAGTGCTATATTTTGTGATTGAGATTTACTGACAAGTCACATTAGAAAAATTGATGTGACTTGCCAGTAAATCTCAACCTGTAGCACTTTAGGAAACTTTAGGGAAAAATCACTCTAGAGGATCCTTGCTCCCACGCAACACAACAACACTCAAGACTCATACTCAAAGAAGTGTCCAAAAAGAGCGAGAGATATCACGCAACACAACAACACTCAAGACTCATACTCAAAGAAGTGTCCAAAAAGAGCGAGAGATATCCCAAATTTCTCTCTCTAAAATCAACGCATCGCAATCTATACATACATATATCTATATACATATATATGCAAGTGTTGTTGTTCTTCAATCTATCTGAATTCGAGTGTGTAATGAGAGATAGAGACTTAGGGCATAATAGTGTTGGAGCAAAGTTAGGGTTTTTGGATTTTGATAGTGCGTTTGAGTTTGGTGATACTCGTGTTGTTCGATTGGTCGATCTGTGAATGGATTCGAAGGATTCTTCGTCGAATTCAATTGTTGCGGCGTCGTCGGCGGCGGCAGAAGACGATGGAGTTTTGTCAGCTACCGCGGGGCTCGCGAAGGACGCCAGTGTAGCCTTTCATTCGGGCAAGTTCTTGGAATGCGTCGATTTGTTGAATCAGCTCTTGCAGATAAAAGATGACGATCCAAAGGTAACTTCTTCTTCTTTTTTTTTTTTCAAATTTTTTTTTTAACCTTTTTCGTTTTAAGTATCTGAACTGTTTGATGTGTTGATTGTATTGTTTAATTAGTCAATGAAATGAAGAAATGGTTGTATAATGCTGTTCGGTTGATTCGTATTTTAGTAATTCTTAGATACTCAATATAAAACTTTGAGGTTTGGATGAGTTAGAATAGCTTGCAATTCCTTTGCAAAATTGCATCTTTATTTACTTGGAATTTTTAAAAGGTTGGAGATGAGCATGATTGTGGGATATTGTATTGATATTGTAAATTCTGTTGTTGTTAGGGTTCACAACACAATGCTTAGATAATATTTGTAATTTTAAAACTGTTTAGACTAGGCAGAACTTTGACAGGTGATGAGATTGGGAAAGCTTATTGAAACTGTTTAGACTTGCAGACCAAGGGTAAGTCATGGCATTGGTGGGTGATATATTTGCTAAGTTTGAGTCCGTGTGACTCTGAAATTGGGGATATTGACTTCTCTGGAGTGAGTTAGCAGGAAGATATCTGCATGACATAATTCACAGCACTACGTTCTTTGAACTCATTACAAATCTAGTTTCGCCAATTTTTTTATAGCATAAACTTATGACAACTGCAAGTTGGTTAGGCAAGATCAGTCCAGTACAATTATGGTATTGCCTTTTTTTTTCAGTTAGAGATTGGGGGCTGTTTTTGGAAGTTAGAGAATAGGATCTGTATTGTCAAATTTTCAGTTAGAGAATAGGGTCTGTGTGTGCCTAGCCCACTTTAATATTTTATTCTCATTCTTTTTATTTTTTGAATGAATAGGGTCTGTGCATGCCTAGCACTCTTAATATTTTAAGATTATTTTCTGATATAATAAAAATATTGATTTTATTGTAGAGATCTTGATTTAAAATCCTGTTTGAAAGTATAATGTCTTTTGATCTGAAGCACATTAGAAGTCCCTTTACTGCATTACAAATTTGAAAAGTTATGCAACTTTTATTTTACTCAAATGGCAAAAAAGTTTGTTCCTTTTAGTCTTGTATATTATTTGATGTTCCGAATTGTGTGATGTATTTTCAGATTCTTCACAATATTGCTATTGCAAGGTACTTTCAACACGGTTGTTCAGATCCCAAGAAGTTACTTGAAGTTCTTAATAATGTCAAGGTATGTGTTAAAATGCTGGCTAATGCTTCATGGTAGTGGAATATATTGGGTAGCGTTTGGTAGAGTTTTCTAAATATGATTTAAGAATAGGAGTTGTATTTTGAGTTTGTGAGTTTTGGAATTATGATTTGAGTGTGGAAAATTTGTTTGGTTATGACTTTTGAAAAGAGTTTTGAATTGAGTTTGAAATGAATGATGTGACATATGATATTTAATTAAAAAACTTACAACTCATAATCAAACACACAACTCAAAATCCTATTCAAAGCTCATAAAAAATTTTAAAAAAATTCTGGAAATATTTTTTATTTAAAATATAAAAATAACAGGTGTGAAAAAAAAAAAAATTTACACTATTTCGGTCAACTGGGGGGACGACAGGATTAGCCAAATTTTCCCGCCTGGAAAGGAGTTTTCAAAAGTGGGTGTGGAATTAATTTTTGAAATTTACAATCAAACACCACGTGCAAACTGAGAGGTGGAATTACAATTCCAAAAATTTTCCAAACAGAGCCTTGATTTCTCTATCATGTCCTCCACTAGTCTATCATTTGTATCCTTGAAAGTTTTGGAAGGAGATAAGTTGGAGAAGAATCATGGGAAATCATTAAAATAGGATATAAAGTTGATGTACGGCCAAAACAATTACAAAATTGGGGTAGGGGATGGGGATAGTCATAGGTAGAATGGTAAGGAAGATGTGTAAGTTAAAAAAAGGGACATAGAATGATATTAATGCGATTAGATATGGGAGAAGCACAATTAATACAAAAAGTGTATATGTGATGCTGACACACGATTATATTTGAGCCATCAGTCTATCGTTACTTTTCTGGTGCTAGTTATAAGCCCATCTGCTAAAGCATCTAGCATTCAACTAGACTATTTGGAGTTTTATAAAGTTTTAGACAAGGAAACCCTAGCAAAAAGATATTCCTATGCATCACAACACAGGTGGAGCAGAAAAAAAAAATTTACATTATGTGGTGGGGTGTAAGTCAAAAGTTGTGGGGAGTGCAACTCATTTATTTCCCCCCCAACCTTCACTGAACAGCGATTTCCCCTACTTAGTTGGTGTTTGGAAAGTGGCTATTTTTTAGGCTTTTTGGCTATTTGGCTAATTTAATTGGCTATTTTAGTTTTTGTGTTTGAGAAGATGGGATGAATTTTTTTTGTTATTGTTGTATTAAAAAATGCGTTTGAAATGATTGTGTAATGCAAAATGACCAAAGTGTCCCTACAAAAAAATTAAAAAAAGGGATGTAGTCAATGCTGTGGCAGTTAGTACACTGCCACCGCCCAGTTTGTTTCTAATAAATGAAAAAAAGTACATGTTAGGTTCAAAAAAAAGTGCAGGTTGGTCTGAGGTTGGGATGAGGCGGATGTGTAACTGAAGGGTAAAATAGTCTTTTTACCTGTTAGTGGCATCCAGCTGGATAGCCTCACTGTAAAACAGCCTACCCCACAGCTTCCCAAACACTGCCTTAATTTGTTCTGTTGGGAAAAAAAGTTCGTATTTTATCATTAATAGACTCACGTAACAAGATGACCAAAAAATTTGTAATAGAAAATGATGATAATTCAAAGTTGAACCAACTATTATGGAATTAAATTAAACTTATGCAGTCATTGGATCAAGTAATTTGAGCTAAGCTTAAATTGAATCAATGCTATTACAATAGTGTTTTAAAAGGCTCTAGGCGCACCAAGATGATAAGGTCTTCTATAGCCTAAGCGCGTGGCAAGGCAAGGGTTGCGCCTCGCAAGTAGTAGAAGAAAAGAAAAACTATAACTAGGCAAACTTTTCAATGTAACAAATTTATATCGAATTCCAAAAATCATAAAGCAAGTTTCAGAAGCATAACATAAAAGAAAAAACAGAAAGATAACCCGGCGAAGAAGCATGAGAAGAAAAGAAGAAGAGAAGTATAAAATAAGAAAAGGAGAAGAGAAGAAAAATAAGCAAAGGAAAAACAAAGGCAGGCCCGTGAAAAGAACCTATCGAAGAAGAGAAGAAAAAAATAAGAAAAGAAGAAGAGAAGAAAATAAGAAAAGAAGAAGAAAAAACAGATGCAGAGAAATAACCCACCAAGAAAACTTATCAAAGAAGAAGAGAAGAAGATAAAAACCTACAGAAGAAGCCAAAGCCGTGTCGTCTTCTCATTTTCTGATCGTTTTTTTAATCTTCTTCACCTAAGTTTTTTTTTTTTAATCACTTTCTACTCTCTTTTGATCACGTTTGGTCATTTTATATTGAAGAGTTTTGATTCCCTATGGATATGCCCACAAAAAAAGCACTTAATCAACAGTTGGAGTAGAAAAATACGTAAAGCCCATGAAGACCGCGCCTCGCGGCTTGAAAAAAAGCTCTCGCCTTAGCGCCTAAGCTGCGCCTTGTGTATTGCGCTGCACGTTGCCTCGACCTGTTTGAAGCCCAAAGTTGCGCTTTGTTGCGCCTCGCGCGCACGCCTTTTAAAACAATGTATTAGAGAATCCAAATGTATTTTTGCTTGATATTTTAACTGGGGAAGCTATAAGGTGATTGATGCAAATTTCTTTATAAAAAAATAAAAAATGAAGAAGAATCCATATCACCTTGCTTGTTTTCACTTTTCAAAAAACACTTTTCAGAAAATTCTACTTTCTTATTTTTCGTGTTTTTTTGTTTTTACTGAATTTTTTTAATATTTTAAGCAATTTTTTTTTATTTTTAGACACACTTAACATAAATACACCTAAAAAGTAAAAAAATTGTAAAAAAAAACTTTTAAAAATTCAATAAATACCAAAAATACCAAAAAAAAAATATAAGAATTCAGTACATTTTTTGTATTTTTATGTATTTATTAATTTTTTAAAATATTTTTTTACAAATTTTTTACTTTTTAGATACATCTAAGAAAGGTGCATCTAAAAAAGTAAAAAAAAAATGTTTAAAATTTAAAAAATATTCACTAAAAACAAAAAAACACGAAAACCAAAAAAGTCAATTTTCGAAAAACTTAATCCAGAAAACTCAAATCAAACACACTGTATGGTATTTAGGAACTCAATATTTTTTAATAATAAAAAGAACCATAAAGGGGGAACCTCCTTTGTATGTAGTATGTAATTGCAGAGGAAAGGATATTAACTAGATATATTGATGCTTATATAAAAAAAAGATATGATTAACACGGACATGGACACGCGACACAAGGAGCTAATTACTCCCTACGAAATTTTGTAGCTTTTTGCACTGACAAGCATGATAAGATTCTTGATATTTGGTATTTATTTATGTGCTATAATATGCATGCCATTTACCTTTTGGCTGTGTTAAATTCTTTGGTGCTGGAATATAAGGTTTATTTTTTATTTGGTTTCCTTTGTTCTCACATTTTGTTTTATATTCTTTAATTTGATTTAGAAACGAAGTGATGAGCTTGCTGATGCATCCAGCGAAAATGCAGATGCGGTTGGCAATTTGGGCAACAAAATTGCATTGGGATCTAAAGGAACCAATAGTGTGGCACATCAATTTTCCAGTGCAAATAGTTCACATGTTTATGGCGATGAATTTGACACTTCTCTGACAATGTTAAATATAGTATGTTCAATTGATACTGTGTTTAGTTAATTTATTGGTGGCTTGTTGTAATGGTTTTGATTCCTTTTCTTTCCCCCCCCCCCCTTTTCTTTCTTTTTTTTTTTTTTTCTGACGCTTAATTTGGATTGATGTTTGTTTCAAAATGGCTATACACAGGCAGTTATCTGGTTTCATCTTCATGAATATGCGAAGGCCTATTCCATTCTTGATTCTTTATATCAAAAGATTGAACCAATAGATGAGGTATGATGGAATAAGCTGCAAGGGTTATGCTATGGTGCCTTATAACCCTCCACCCAAGAAAAAAGAAACAATGATGAGACAGTGTTATTCAAATTCCTCTGTGTAATGTCTTTGTAATTATGTATTTGCAGGCAACAGCTCTTCATATTTGCCTTTTGTTCCTGGATGCTGCATTAGCTTCCCATGATCCGTGGAAATTTGTTGTAAGTTCAATTTCTAGGAGCTTGACTAATTGTCTTCATTCAAAGTTTTACTTGAGATTTATTATTTTAAATGATGTGTCTTGAGTCTTCAGCCTGACATTTTGTGCTATATTCGTTCTCTTGCCTTTTCTACCATTGGTACAGCTCCATTATTAGGAGACTTCTGATTTAGAGAGTGGATGAGGTTTATTGTTCTGTGCTTTTGGACAGGGAATCATTGCTCTTCAGTCTAACTGACATGTTGCAAACTTTTGTTTTAGGATTTGAATTTTTAGTCATCCAATTTAGTACTCTCTCTCTCTCTCTCTCTCTCTCTCTCATAAGGTAGTTGGGTAGAGCATGAAATTATGCTTCTGGAACATTTGATAGAATGATATGGAAAGATAAGCATTGAGCTTTTTTTTTTGGATAAATACTAGAACTTTATTAGAATGCATCAAGACGATGCAAAGAATACAAACAAACCACCCACAAACGGACTAAACAAAACTAACTAATCAAATCCTCCACAAAGTCAACAAAGACCAAGACAATGGGATCGACTGTACCCGTAACCCAACTATGCAGCACCAACAACAACCTATTTTCTTACCATAAAACGGAATGACATTTATCCTGAAACACTAGCTTATTCTATTTTAACCAAATCAACCAAAGCAAACAATGGGAAGCAAGCACCCAAGCCTTTCGACACCTCTTCCCCACCCTAGCCCCACCTCAACTCTGTAACACTCCCAGTAAAGACTCCGGTTGCACCCACACTAAGCCAAACAAAGCAACAAGGAAATTCCAAAGTTTGGACACAACTGGGCAATGAAGAAGCAAATGATCCACCGTTTCCGCATCCCTGCAACACAGGCAACACCAATTCACCAATACATGCCGCCGCTGGATAAGATTATCAATAATGAGGATACGTCCCAAAGTTGCGGTCCAAACAAAGAAAGCGACCTTAGAAGGAGAACCCGTGGCCCAAATACATTTCCAAGGAAACACACCACCAACACCCTCTACAAGCACCCCATAAAATAAAGACACGGAGAAAACACCTTTAGAGCTCCAGACATCCCAAAGTAAAGAATCCAACCCATCCCCCCCATTCCGCAAGCCATATAGAAAGCCTAGAAGATCCACCAATTGGTCTTACCTCCCAATCCTGTATATCATGATGAAGACAAACATTCCAGACAATTGAGTCCTCGTGTGTCGACCTAACCAAAGCAAACAATTCTTCCCCATCAACAGCAATAGCATAAATCAAAGGAAACAAGGCGGTCAAAGTCAAACCATCACACCACCGATTTCGCCAGAAACGAACCCGATCACCAACCCCCCACTTTAAACCGAACCCTTCCAAAACTCCGCCCTCTCCAACCAAATCTCCTTCCACAAACTACGACCATAAAGTTGAGCCACTCTTTGCGAACACCAACCCCCCCTCTCCTCTCCATACTTGGCCACCACCAACCTTCTCCGTAAACTGTCCCGTTCCCCCACAAAACGCTACAACCATTTACCTCATAAAGCCCCATTAAACACCACCAATTTTCGCACACCCAAACCCTTCCTCCTTCAAAGTACAAACCCTCTCCCAAGCCACCAAATGATAATGAAAACCCTTCCCACCCCCACTCCACAAAAACTCCCATTGCAATTTCTCCAACCTCTTTGCCACCCCCACAGGGACTACATGCGCAGACATAAAGTACGTCGGAATGCTGGAAAGAACAGTCTTGATCAAAGTAATCTGCCCCCTCTTTGGACAAGTATTGGCGCTTCCACCCTGCTAACCGCCGCTGCACTTTGTCCACTACCCCATCCCATACTCGAGTCTCCTTAAAAGAAACCCTCAAGGGAAGTCCCAAATAAGAAACTGGCAACCTGGCCACTTTACAGTCCAAAACGGCTGCCAACATCGGTAAACTAGCCACTTGACCCACAAGGATCAATTCTAATTTGGACAAATTAACCCACAGCCCAGACACTGCCTCAAAACATGGCAAAATGCATCGCAAGTGACCAATCTGAGTAGCCTCTGCATCACAAAAAATCAACTTATCATCAGCATAGAATAGATGAGAGACCACCAAAGAGGCTGATCTCTCCCCCATCACAAAACCCGATAATAAATCTCCTTGGACTGCCTTAGAAATCAGACGATTCAATGCCTCCATAACCAAAATAAACAACAATGGGAACAGTGGGTCTCCTTGCTTAAACCTCTCCAAGCGGGGAAAAAACTCGCGTCCCATTAAACAGCACTGACATCTGAACAGTGGAAATATAAAAATGTATCCACCGCCTCCACTGGGCCCCAAAATCCAACCTCGCAAACATGTATAACAGAAAGTTCCAATTGACATTATCATAAGCCTTCTCAATATCCAACTTGCATACAATTCCCCATTTCCCTTGCCGAAACTGCGAAGCCATGCACTCATTAGCCACCAAAACAGCATCCAAAATCTATCGCCCACCTATAAAAGCATTCTGAGATTCTGAGACCACTCCTTCCAACACCCCCCGAAGCCTATTAGCCAAAACCTTGGCCAGTAAATTGTAAATGCTGCCCAAAAGACTAATAGGCTGAAAGTCTTGGATATCCTCCGTCCTCCCTTCTTGGGAATCAAAGCAATAAAAGTTGCATTCAGACTCCTCTCAAATTGCCCAGTTTGATGAAACTGCTCAAACACATCCAACACCTCCCATTTGAACCCCCCCCAACCCCAACCCCAACCCCAACAATGCTGAAGAAAAGCAACTGAAAATCCATCCGGCCTCGGGGGCTTGTCCCCAGGCATACTTCTTAACACACCCAAGACCTGTCCCACAGTTCCCACCAAAGCCCTATTCAACAAACCAAACCAAACCACCCCTCCTCCGCCACGCCCTAAACCAACTGGCCATTGTCTCCAATGGGAGCCAAACCTCTGTCCTACACCTAAACAGCCTTGTGCACCACTGATGCCCCGTTCATAGCGCCAGTCTTCGAAACCCTACCCTCTCTCCTGGCAAAACCCTCGATGACTAGAGCCACACCCTCCCACCTATCCCCAAACTCCGAAGCAGGGATAAAAGTCTAGAACCGCTTAACATCCAATGTGGCCACAACTTGAAACGAAGCCCCACCGTCCTCCTCGCCACGGATCCAAACTGCCACACTCCAACGATTCCCATCCAAACGACCCAGAAACGATAGGGTTCCAATGAGACTTGAAGCCTCCCGTAACTTCTTCACAATCCAAACTACTTCAAAGCCGACTAATAACACTTCTCGCAGTAAACCTAATCCACGTTCCACAATCCCTAGTTGTCGATGGCCTCGGGAGTCTAGTGATGCCTCCTGAAACTCAAAGGATCGACCCCCAAGGAAAAGAATCGGTCATCACGGCCTGTCCTCCACGCTCGCCGGAAACATTCAAGGTAACTCTCTCAAACCATCGGAAATCGCGTCTAATTATGGAAATCACTCACTCTGTGAAAATCGCTCCTGGATGTATGATCTGTTGGTTCTCTAGGTTTCCATCACCAGATTTTTGGACATAGCATAGGCAAAATTGTGTCAAGATCTATTTACCTTTACCCTTTCAAGAAGACTAGGCAGATATATTTCCTTGGAATCTGATATATACAATCCTCCTCCTTTTAAGATCTCAATAGATGGTCTCCAGCTTATATAATTGATTAAGCATTGAGCTTTACTAGATACATGTTATTTGTTTCTTAAAAATTGGCTCTCTTTTATCCCCTCTTCTTATTAGCTTTCATATAGTGATGTATGTTGAACCTGCTTGTCCAGTTTCCATATCTTTTTAAAATTTTCAAAATAAATTGGGAAAACCTGTGAAACTTGTACCTTTACAATAGTAGTACAAAAAATCTTCGTTCCATATGTTTAATTGCTACATGCTTGCTCCCCATTGGATCTAGTTTATGACATTATGATTTGAGTGATATTAATGAGGCTAATCTTCATCAGGAAACTTTCTGGTAACTTGTGCACTATAGATATCCATGTTTTATGTAAATGTACCTTTACAATATCTTATTTATTTATTTGAAAATAATTGAACCTTGAATCAAATCTATTTTGACATCTGGATCGTGTATCCTTTTAAATCATATTAAATTTTAGATTTCGGTAAGAAAAAAATTCAAAGAAAGAGGAAGAAGAGGAAGAATTGAAGCAAAGGAACTAAGAGAAACTCACTGGAATATCGAATTTTGCCGTCGACTAGCACCGTCGTCTTCGAAGAAGAGTTCAATTGCGGACTGTGTTCTTTCTTCAAACTTGTTGATTGTGCTCTTCGTCAAAGAGAATTGAATCAAAACAATAGGCCTAATTTCAATTTGTGTTATGTTTTTATTATTACAAAAGAACCCTAAAGTTATTTAATTTTTTAAAGTTAACAAGAAAAAATTGCTCAGGTACCCTTATAATTGTTGAAAATCTTGTTTTTTACCTTGTCTACCCAAAAACGAACCCATGGAGTACCCATGGTGTACTAGGCATCTACAAATTGTATAAAATGTACCCGGTGTGTTTTTGCCACGCGTGCAGCTGTACTGGTACGTGTACGCGTACCCGGTAAGTATCCGGTACTTGTACGGCAACATTTTTGGAGTACACGTGCTTCATAGCTTGATATCTATACTAATATGTAAAGCGAGCACCTTTTCTATTTGTCTGGAACCACAAAACGATACCAATTTTCTTCAACACAACTGTTTGGTCTTCTCTAGCTTTGAGGGCAAAAATTGGAACCATCTTTTTTGTGTTAACCCCACATCCAATTAGTTAGAATGTAAAATGAGGAAATTTAGGTTTAGGAAGAAGAAGAGAGAAGAGAAGAGGAAGGAATTTTTTATATATCTTATAATGTTGTGCTCAACCCTACATTAGTAAATTAGCAAAATATATATACAAACCCTAATATTGCAATATGGCCCTCGTACCCTCAACTTAAGTAAAGATTAACAATAGAACAAAAATAACTATTCCAATTCAAAAGCTCCTTGAGTAGGAAATGCTTTTCTTGATAAGGCAACACAGTGAGGAAAAAAAAAATTTATGGACAAAATTATGAATTGTTTGGGTTATGTTTTGGTCACTCCTGCTTTACACTTGTATTGCTTTGGAGTCTGGTTTCAAGAAGCTAGACAGTGTTTTGGTGATTCCAAACTCTGGATAGTGTTATTGGTCTCTCCTTGATTGAAGGTTGTTTTTTTTTTTTTTTGGCATTTGGTCATTGGTTCTAGTCATCATTACTAATTATTAGTTTGTTTCTTTTGAGAATTTAAAAGTGCGAGCCTGACAAACATTGTGAAAGAAAAGTTGCATGTACAATGGAAATGTAGAAGATGAATTGTCTTTTGTAGAAAAATTTATTAATGAAGGCAATGAAGAAGTATAGACAAGAGGGATGAGCTATACCTTTCACTGATGAAAAAGAAAGGTGCAATGCTACAATATTGAAGTTAGCTACCACCCGATGGCTTTTCCACACACACATCCATGCACACATACATGCTTATTGCCCTAGAAACAGAATATAAATAAACACTAAAAAACATTGAGAAAGAAGCTAGGGTAGATATGGACCCTTGCAAAACTAATTAAGAAAACCTTGCTAGTGTCTCATTGGTCACATCTTTCTAATTGTCCTTCTTTTAGGCGTCTAGAAGCCTTCCCCCAATTCTAGGATGCTTAGTAGCTCTAGTAAGTCCATAGCTGGTATTTGCATCTGTGTTACTTGGAACATGGATGTTCTAGTAACGGGAATGAGAACAAGAACTTGGTATTCCATATGCTTTAAAATGTGCTATGATATTAGGGGTAGTAGGCTTGTACTAATTACACCGTTAGAATTTGGCTACTTGTTAATGTGTTGAGTAAATTGATCATGTAAAAACTTAGAAAATATGAAGAAGAAGAACTCCGAAAATATGAGGAAGAAGGAATATATTTCTGTTATATTCAAAACTTCTTATCTTACAAGACCAAATGACACTCCTTATATAGGAGATATTACAAACATCATCATAACCCATTATATGCCACTTACATATACACAATTTCCAGCATAAAACATAATTCTGGAAGCTTTATGTCCCTCCAAAACTCCACTCTATGGAGACTTAGTTCATTATATTTGATGTTTTCCTCCTATTAGATTTTTAAGAGAATAGGAATAAATTTTGGAATCTCTTTGGACGGCTGAATTCAGCATTTTATGGAACAGAAGTGTATCATGTTTCAGAAAGTGTGTTCCAAAGCGTAAATTGGTAGGACATTGGCGTTGTCTGGTAATACTAATATGCATTAAAGAAGTTGACGAAGCTAAAATCCATCTGAGTAGGTGCCATACTATAAAGCGGTTGATGAATGGATATCTAACCCCTCCCATTTCTATATCAAATCTTCCTTAATGAAACAATGCCTTAGGTGTCAAGGTGTCGTCATTCCTTTTAAGAGGGTTTGGATCCGAGAGACTCTATCGTAGAGGGCAGTGCCTTTTTCAAATCTGTCGTCTTTTCCAAGTTTAATCATAAACTGCATCTCAAAGATATTACTTGCGCTATTTAGTGTTGTGTAGTAAAAGTGTAAGTGTATTGTAACACAATGGGTAGGTTGACAACTATGCGACTGGGGAAAATCATTGTATTTCTAAAGTTCATTAGGCATGCTCAAATGAGCATGTTATTTGAAGCGGTGAGATTTATTTTTTATTTTATTTTATTTATTTTGGGAGGAGAATCCTTTGCTTAATCTATTGTGCTGTTAGACAGGGTTACAGTACTTGACATGTGCATTTCTCTAATTTCTTTCCTTTCTTGGAATTTTGGTTAGAACCTTTCCTCTCTTCTCAATCTTGTTGCACGTCTCTCTCTCTCTCTCTATATATATATATATATATATATGTATATATATATATTTATAGTGCATTAACACTAGATGCTACTCCATGGTGAATTCACTTGCAAAGCCTTTTGCCAATCCACTATCTTTGGAGAAGCACTGTGTGATTTAACCAAAATTAGGGTTATGAAGTCATTAGAGAGGGAGTCCCAAATTGGGATACTAAGTGCTAAAGCTCTAATCACAATATGAAAATTTCTTTAAAACTAATTACTGAAGGTCCTAACTACCTATTTATAAGCCAAGAGAAAAGATTGTATGTATATAACAAGTGAAAAGATTTATAAAATATATTTGTTGTATATGATATGTATAAAAATATATATTCATTTGCTGTACCCAGTGTTTTTAAAGGCTTAAGGCGCACTAAGGCGCTGAAGGTGTCTCGGGGCCTAGGCGCAAGGCGAGGCCCCGGCTTTATTGAAGTAAGGCACACATTCTTAGTAAAAAATAAAAAAATTAACATAGACTAATCATTCATAGTATTAAGACAATTTTTAAAAAATAAAAAGTAATCAAGATCCAAGACAAAATATAGAATAATTCTTAAAGCCATGAAAGTGCATATTACATAACATTTCAATTTTCAAAGATAAAATAATCCACATTCAATAAAATAAAAATAAAAACAAAAACATAAACACTAAACATGTAATGTAATGTGTCAATTTAAATTATGTAATGGAAAATAATGTAATGAAAAATTACACTCAGTGTAATGTAATGTAATGGAAAACAATGTAATGTAATGTGTCAATTTAAAAAATAATTATTAATTAATTATTTGAAAAAAAAATTTAGTGTATTTTTTTAGTTAATCAATCAATAAGATAAGTCTTATTTTGTATTTCTATTTTTTTTTTTTTTTCTAACAAAGACTCAAAGGTATAATTGAATTAAAAAAAAAAAAAAAAACAGAGCAGAGCAGAAGAGACGGAATCTGCGAAGAAGAGAGAAGGAGAGAAGAAAAAGAAAAAAGACCAGTTCAGGCGCAGAGCCCGAAAATGTCGAAGAAGAAGAAGTAGAAGGAGAGAGAGAGAGAGGGTGAGGCGATCGAAGTTGAAGAAGCCAGAAAAACAAAAAAAACAAACAGAGACACAGATTAAGGCAGAAGAAGAAGAAAGGGGGGAGAGAGAGAGAGAGTCAAAGTCGAATAAACCGAAAGGAAAAAACAAAAAAACAAAAAAAAACAGACGACATAGATTAGGGGAAGAAGAAGAAGGAGAAGTCGTACCGCACCTAGAATGTCAAAGTCGAAGTCGAAGTCGAAGTCGTAGCCCAGTCCAAGTCGAAGTCGAATTGAAGTCGAGAGAGGAAGAGACGACACATATTAGGGATTTTGTTTCAGTCGCATTGGGTTGTATTGTATATAAGCTGTAATCCTTTGTGGTTAGAGCCATTCGAACACACACCACAGTTGTTAGATCAGAATTAGGGCATAAACCATCAATCGCGCCTAGGCGCGAGCCTTGCGCCTCTCTCGCCTGCTTCAAGTCGTGCGACTTCTTCAACACGCCTCGCCTGGGACCAGTTTAGGCGCACAGCCTGCGCCTCGATCAGCCTTGCGCCTAGGCGCGCTTTTCACAACACTGGCTGTACCCTGCTTTGTTGTATCTGGGATTTTTGGAAATTGTTGTGCTTGCAATCCATATTGTGTTATAGCTGTGTCGTGTTTCTGTTTTCATGCTTGTGTCTGTGCTTCTTAGACTTCGTAGTAATCCTCTTCTTTTACTGTTAACGTTTGTCGTATCGGCCTTGTTGTATTTGAGATTTTTGGAAATCGACGTGTTGGCAGGTCTGTATTGTGTTATATCTGTGTCCTGTTTGTGTTTTCGAGCTTGTCCATGCTTCTTAGACTATCCTAAATTCTTAGTAATCCTCTTCTTTCACTGCAAAGATTATTTGATAATCTGATTATCCCACTGAGGAGAAATGCTTGGATTCTAGCTCACGGAAGGTGCAGCCTCCTCAGGAACTGCTCTCCATTTTGTGTTTTCAAAAGGGATGAATATTTTACCTATTCTTTTGCATTATCTGTGGACTCGTACATTGTTGCAAATGATGTTTGGCTTTGTGAAGGAAGGTTGGTTGCCTGAATATGGATCCTTTCCAATGTTCTTTTCATCTTTGGCAAAGTAAAATTGGAAAGTTCTGTCACAATGTGTCATTGTTTTAGCCATTATATGGTTACATGTGGGTGGGAAGGACTGGAAGAAATTTTTAAGAGTAGCAATGAAGAATTGCAGTTTCATCTTCTTTGGTTTTGAGTGCTGTTTGGATGTAGCTGATTGCTAAAGCTTAGAGACCTGGTGGTCAATTATGTGAAATGGGTGAGTGGTGGGTAATTGTGTGGTTATATATATATGTATATATATTCATGACAGGTAGTTGATGGTAACTAAATTCTTTTTTCAGAAAATGTGTATTGTGAATATGTAGGGATATAGGGAGGTTGTATTGATATGGAAATCTCCAAAATAAAGCCTTCTGCATGAAATGTTTTAACGCTATGCTGGATCAGGTAGTAGTTGTGAAGTTCCGCTATTGGTCTGTTTAGAGGACTTCTGTTTCTTTGATTCTGGACTTTCTTTTTAGCTAAATATTAGTTATTTTTCATTTAGTAAGCTGAGGATTGTTCTTCCAATTGAAATGCATGTTCAAAAGAGAGAGATTGGGCTTGTGAATTGTTTTTCATTTAAATTCTTTTTAAGTAGAGATGCATTATAGCTTTACTTTACTCTTTTTTTTTTTTTTTGGGTACTTTTCTGGTTGTTCTCCTTTAGCTTGGTTGTTTGGAAGGCTGAAGTGGTTATTTTTAGTTATTTTATGGGATGCCCAGTTTTGTGCATGAGTGGGGATTGTTGTAAATTGTGGATTATGGTGCCAAAAGCTCAAATAACCATTTGTGGGTTATTTACTTCTTGTGCTTTGAGGAAAGCTATTTTCTCTTGTAATTGTAACCATTTTGTAGACTTAGTGCCTAGTGTGTTTGGGATGAAGGAATTTGGTGGAACTATAGTTGAAAATGGCATTTGATATGCTCGGAATGGATGGAACTTAAAATGGGTTTTGGATTTGGTGGGATTTGAAAGGGGGAAAAAGAAAAAAAAAACCATCTTGAAATCCCATTCTTCTGTCTTTCTCTACAAACTAATGTCTCTCCTAGGGGCATCATTGCCTTCAATTTTGTTTACTTTCCAATTCCTCATCAAACCAAACAGAAAATGGAATTTTTTCCTTTTAATTCCAATTAGTAAAGGGATGTCCTTAGAACTCCGTTATTTTCCTTTCCCATTTTGAAATCCCATTTCTAATAAAAGGGTTTGGTTCCAAACACTGTAGGGTTTACCCATTTCATTTTTCTGACTTCATTTCTTATTGTTACTTTGCTTGAATTAGGTCTGAAAGCCCACTAGTATTTTGTGCATTTTTTTGGTCATGTATGAGATTCAATAATCATGTTATACAATGGTCAATGCATCATAGTGATTATTATTTTTATTTTTTTTACATATTTTTGGAATTTCTATGCAGTGTTTTAGTCTTCACATATATTGACAGCATGATTGAAATTTTACATATTCTTTTTTCTGTTTGTATGTTTTAAATTTATGCTTAGGTACCGGAATAATTTTGTCGTGGTTCTTTTTTATCCAGGATGTAATTAATTATGTGGAGAAAGCTTATTGTTTCAGTAATTTGATCAGTCAAAGTGACAATGGAAGCTCCACGACACAACAATCTTCTAACCTGGTGGTGAAATCTTCTTCGCTTCCAAGCAATTCAAACGCCACGGATGTTTCTAATTCTGATTCAGTTGCTAATTCAAATTCCTCAGAAAGTCCTTTTTCTAGAACTTTATCAGAGGAAAATCTCGAAAGCCTAATTTCAAGTATCGACATGAGTGGACAGAACCTAGCAAGACCATCAGGCGTATCGACCAATGATCTTTCAAGAACTCCAGCTGATCATTCAATTTCAACCAGTGATCTGAGATTGAAGTTGCAACTTTACAGGGTTCGGCTTTTGCTTCTCACTAGGAACCTCAAGGCAGCAAAGCGTGAAGTTAAGATGGCTATGGCTATGAACGTAGCACGGGGGAAAGATTCTTCCATGGCTCTCCTCTTGAAGTCCCAGCTTGAGTATGCACGTGGAAATTACCGTAAAGCCATCAAGCTCTTGATGGCATCGAGTAATCGGACAGAAATAGGGATTTCAAGCATATACAACAACAATTTGGGGTGCATCTATTATCGACTCGGAAAATATCATACGTCAACAATCTTCTTTTCCAAGGCTTTGAGTAATAGTTCATCTCTTCGGAAGGAAAAACCATTAAAGCTCTCGACTTTCTCACAGGACAAATCACTCCAAATTATATACAACTGTGGTGTTCAGTACTTGGCTTGTGGGAAACCAATACTTGCCGCTCGTTGTTTCCACAAGGCGAGTTTAATTTTCTACAACCGGCCTCTCCTGTGGTTCCGAATCGCTGAATGTTGTCTAATGGCACTAGAGAAGGGACTTTTGAAATCCGGTCCAGCCCAATTGAATGGATCTGATGTTAAAGTTCACGTGGTCGGAATGGGAAAATGGAGACAACTTGCTGTGGAAGATGGGGTTTCGCGTAATGGGAAGGTGGATTTTGTTGGAACAGACGATTGCTTTTTGGGTGATGATAAACAGCCTAATCTCTCGCTGTCACTTGCCCGGCAGTCTCTGTTCAATGCCCTGTACTTGTTGAACCGTTCTGAGTCGAAGTGTTCAAATTCTGATTCCCCTCATAGTTCCACCTTGGAGGAAAACGAATCAGGAGAGGTCACATCGTCGAATAATACTAATTACAGAAGTGGGTCTGGTGGTGATCCCAAGGCATCTAATCTGATGGTCGGCACGGGTCAAATCAATGGAAACGGGGATGCTAAAGAACAGAAGGGTGGAAATGGAAACGGTCTGAATGCCGCTTTACCGAGCTCGATATCGGATTATGAAGAGATTTGTGAAAGAGAGAATCTGATGATCAAGCAAGCTCTTCTTGCTGACTTGGCATACGTTGAGTTGGAATTAGGAAATCCTTTGAAGGCACTGTCAACGGCACGATGTCTCTTAGAACTTCCAGAATGTTCTAGAATATACATTTTTCTAGGCAACGTGTATGCAGCCGAGTCTCTCTGCTTGCTAAACCGGCCAAAGGAAGCCGCTGAGCAATTGTTGATCTATTTGTCCGGTGATAACAACATTGAATTACCGTACAGCAAAGAGGACTGCGAACAATGGCGAGTAATTAAAAACTTGGATTGTGAGGAGTTGAATGGCGGGTTTTCAAAGAACTCTTCGCTTGATGAATCACAAGATGTCATGTTTCTCAACCCCGAAGAGGCACGTGGAGCTCTTTATGCAAACCAAGCTGCAATTTTTGCTTTGCAGGGAGAGCTCGAGCAGGCTCATCGGTCTGTGTTTCAAGCTTTATTGTCAATACCCGATAGCCCAGAAGCAATTGTTACTGCCATTTACGTGGATCTCATGATTGGGAAGACACAAGAAGCGCTCGCGAAGTTGAAACAGTGTAGTCGCGTTAGGTTTCTCTCGGGAAGTTCAATGCTAAAAAACGCTTGTTGATTGGTGGTGTCGGTGGATTTTAGCACTGTTGAGTTTTAGTAGGTAGGTTAAAAAATCCTTTTTTGATGAGGATTTTGTAACATATATATAGTTTCAACCCAGGGAATAAGATTTTTTTTCTTTTTTCTTTTCTTTTTTTTTGGTTACAATTTTATGTTTTAATATTTTTCATTTTGTTGTAGGGTTCAGGGGATTGGTGGTGGGTACAATTGTTTTGGTTGGTCATGAAATGCCCCTACCCTATATGATTTGAGATGTAGTTCTGATTCAGAATATTTTTTTTGTTGTTTTAGTGGCTAAATCAGGTTGGTATTCAAAGATTATAGAGGTCATGCTATTTTATCGAGAAAATGAACTCCGAAAGAAAATTCATTCCTTCCAGATGATAATGCACGTTTAATCTTTTATTTTTATTTTGTCAATGCCCTATCCTATAGATATAGTATAATGTGGCATGCGGTGCTCTATTGTGATTTTGATAGAAAAAGAAAAAAAAAAAAAGTGTGAAATAGTTATATTCAATGTCTTTGGTTTCAGCTTTCTAAATTTAATTTTTTGAAAATTGTGTTTTTTTGTTTTTTATATTTTCAGTGAATATTTTTTAAATTTTAAGTAATTTTTTTTTATTTTTTTAGATGTACTTTGCTTAGATGTATTTAAACAGTAAATTATTTGTGAAAAAATATTTTAAAAAATTAATAAATGCACAAAAATATGAAAATTATACTGAATTTCATTTTTTTTTTATATTTTTGGTATTTAGTGAATTTTTTAAATATTTTTTTCATAAATATTATATTTTTAAGTGTATTTATGTTAGATGTGTTTAAAAATTAAATTAATTAAAATATTAAAAAAATTCAGTGAAAACGAAAAAATATGACAAACGAAAAAGTAGAATTTTTTAAAAAATAAATTTTGAAAACTGGAAATAAACAGAGTGATTGTATTTATATTTTACTAACTTTTTTTTTTGTTCTTTTTTAAATTTTTACCTAAATTCATAATCTAAACACAGTTTAAGAGTTTTTATTGGAGCTTGATTTGATAAAATTTTGTTTTAGATGTGTTGATTATGTAAATAAATTAAATTTGAATCTATTTTAAAATTTGCAAATCTTTAATGTATAAAATCTTTGAGTTAAGTTTGGTTGAAATTTATTTGAGATTGTCTAGAAAAATTGAATGAATAATCATTTTCTATTCTTAAAATTTGATTTATCACCACCAAAAATAAAAGGGTTTTTTATTGATAAATTCAATTTAGAGGTGTTCTATCTCAATAAGTCCATAAAGGAAAGTTATAACCTAGTTAGTCCCATGTGTTTATACTTTTATTCCATAAGGTCCTCTTTCTTGATTTATCTGATTTATATTTTTTGTTAGACTATTATACCTTTATATCTATTATTGATATATATTATATACAAGAATGATATACATATTTCCCTCTGTTTTTGTTGTGGTAGGGTTTTGTTCCTATAGAAGAGAAGACGACGACACAGAGTTTGTGATGGTGTTTCGTTGCAGTACAGTTTCATTCCTGTAGGAGAGAAGATGACGACACAGAGTTTGTGCTTTGTTTTTTGTTTTTTTTTTTTTTCTGTCATAGTTATGATTTCAGCCAGAAATCAAAGGAAAATAGGGGGATTTGAATCGAAGGAACAGATGAGATGGCTTACAAATTTGTTCAATCGATTGATTGAAATCCACATTCGACTGGATAAATCAAAGGAAAGAGGAGTTTGTGCTCTGTTTCTGGTTTTTCTATCAATTAGTTTGAATGTTCACATTTCATATTGTTCTTCTTTCGGGTGATATTCTTCTTTTTCACAATTGTTAAAATTATCGCCCACCAAGTGTTTGATTATATGTTCAAATGAAAAATTCAGTAGAAAAAATTGTTCCCATTGGAAACTTTGTGGCTAATAGTTGCTATTCCCTTGTTTGTGCAATGATTTTGGGTTTCTTTTTAAGTATTACAAAGGAAATTTGTTTATACTTTTATATATATATATATATATATATTTCCATCCTCTGACCCTTTTGCTCAACATTTGTTTGACAAAATGTTCAAATGAAATTGAAACATGCTCATGTCTTGTCTTGGACCAAGAACACAGCAGATATAGTGAAGTATAGGATAGCTCCATTGACTTTAGTCTATTTTTGATTGAGTGAAAAATGTTTTTACATGGAATAAGATGTTACAATGTGTATGAGAGAGTTCAAGAACGTCGTTGGAAAATTCGAAAATCTTCGAAGATCCTTGAAGAAAAATTCGAATTCTCTAGAAGATGATGAGAAGCTTAAATTCTTCAATAGTTTCAACTAAAAACACAAAAGTAAAGAGACGATGGAGATAAGAGGTTGGGTGAAGAAGAAGGCAAAGTAGCTAAAGAGAGAATAATGGCAAGGCTCTCCCATGGATCTCTCACTTTTACTCTCAAGGTTGATAATGGAGAAGGGAAATTAGTTCTTTCCCAAGAGTTATCTCTCCAAAATCCTTCCCTTGTAAAGCTATGGGTGGGTGCTATTTATAGACACCTCATGATGTAGGATGGAGCCCATATGCAAGGCACATGGGAAATATTCTCTCTAACAACCTTGTCCGAGGATGAGGGTAGCCCCGAAGAAGAGATCAACCTCTCGGCAAACCCTTCTTCTTAGCCACACCTAACCAATGATCTCCAATCATCCCAAAGAGCCAGGGGTAGTCCCAGAGGACGTCCTGCCGCAGAAGGGTCAGGGGTAGTTCAAGAGAACGTCCTGCTGCAAATATTGCCGAGTCTCAGGGACCCCTAGATAATACCACCTCTACCCGGGCATAGGCTAGTTTAACCGAAGAGTGAATTTATCTCCATTCACCGTCCTTGGGATCAGGTCTTTTGTTCGGACTCCATTACGCCCATAGTTCTGGTACGTAGATCCCGGAAAGCTCCGAGTCCGCAAGTGGTCTGGGACTCATTAATGAAGCGGCTTGATGTAGGCCGAAAGGTACCACATTTAGGCCACTTAGGATACATTTCTTGTCTTTTAATTTTATTTATTTGGTGGAGATGATGTGTTTCGTGCACTTGTACAGATTTGACAGGAAATATGAAAATTCAATCAAAAGGGGGCGCGAAATCAGATTCTCCGAGTGAGACGTGAAAAATCCGAGTCCACCAGACCACCGCACGTGCGGCCAAGTTCCACCGCACGTGCGGTCCACCACCGCACGAGCGGCCAACACCACCGCACGAGCGGCCAACCTAGGGATGCGTGCACAGACTTTTTGGTCTATTTTTCTCCGAATAAAAGACAGAAAATCAGTCACAGTTAGGGTTCGAAAAATTGAATACAGAATAGAGAGAGGCTAGGGTTCCAAAGTGGGAGACACTACCAAAGCTTGGAAAACACTTCCATGGGGGCTTCTTCTTTATCTTCTTCCTCTTTCCACTTCTCCATGAGTGGCTAGTCGTCTTTTCTAGGGTTTTGATGAAACCCTAGCCATGTAATGGAATTTTTCACGAGCTTTCATTGTAACTTGGTTTGAATGAATGTATGGATGTTTTAGAAGTTTATAAATAATTGTTTCATTCTTCTCTTCAAGCATTCTACTCTCTGTGATTGTTTAATGCTTTCTATACATTAGTATTCTTTGTGTTTGTATTCAAAGTACGAGACGAGTCATACAATGAGAGACGGGTCGTTTTGCTAACATAGTTTAGAGCAAACGACTCGTACTACTCGGGATGATTCGTGCCTGTACATTGAATGCAACAACCCTCTTGATCAATATTTCAAACTTGTAGTTGTGAAATATTGGATAATTCAAACCAAATTGCGATTGATAGTTGATGTTAAGTCTCATTCATGTGGTTAGTGGTGAATTCTCTACCCTAGGATTTTTTCCCGAAAATTAATATCTCAAACCCTAGATTTTGATTGTCAATATAATTCTTCAATTTTATTTAATTGCTGTTTAGGTATAGAATCAATCTTATCATTTTAATCAAAATTAATTTAGGAATTTTGCGATTGAATTAATTTAATTTCACAATAGTCCCTGTGGATCGATACCTGGACTTGCCATTATTCTGATTGAATTTGGTATAGTTTAGTATTTAATTTTGGTGTGTTCAACGACCAATATATAGCTAACAATAGGGTAATAGTGCAAATATAAGAAAACTTCTTATTAGATTATTGATTACGAGTCTTGGTCTTTCTTACTTAAACAATCAACAGGTACATGGCTTTATATAGAGGCCATCCACCGACTTAACCCCTTCTAGAGAGGTCTGATTTCTCTATACATCACGCAACATCATCATTATACATCTACAAAAATCTAGATTCATGTATATATTTTATTATTTTATTTTTAATGTTTTATATATTTCTTAATAAATACCTTCATAAATTATTTATTTATTGTTCTAGATTTCTATAGATTACAAATTATATTTTAACACCCTCACTTAATTTGTAATCTTCATGTATTCTTGAAACTGTAAGAATTTTTCTATTGGCATTACTTTTGTCGTGATATCTGCTACTTGCTTCTTTGTGTTGGCAAACTCCAATTGGATTTCACCTTCCTGTACACTGTCTCAAATAAAATGATGTCGTAGTTCAATGTGCTTTGTCCTGCCATGGAATACTGGATTTTTGCTCATTGCAATGGCTGACATGCTATCACAAAAAAATGTAGTGGAACCTTTCTCTTTGTGCTCCATATCTAAGAGAATTCTTCTAAGCCAGACTGCTTCACAAGTTGCATCTGTAGCTGCGATATATTCTGCTTCTGCTGATGATAAAGCCACAGTCTTCTGCTTCTTGGAACTCCAAGAGATAATTTTTGAGCCAATACAAAATACATAACCTGATGTACTCTTTCGATCATCCAATGATCCTGCCCAATCACTATTAGTGTAGCTAATGAGTTTATTGTCATTTTCTTTCACATACCTGATGCTGATATATATTAACGAGCGGAGATACAAAAGAATTCGCCTTGTCGCAGCATAGTGTGGCTTGCTCGACTCATGCATAAATTTGGAAATAAGATTTACAGAGTAAACAATGTCTGGCCTTATATTAGCGAGATAATTTAGTGAACCAACCAATTTTCGATAGGCGGCAGCATCAACTTTCTCTACTTCATCATTTACTTGCAACTTCTCATTTAAAGAGATTGGAGTAGAAACTGACTCGCAGTCAGACATATGAAATTTCTTCAATAAATCTGCAAGATATTTTCCTTGAGAGATAAATATTTCTCCCTTTGACTACTTCACTTGAATACTGATAAAATATCTCACAAGTCCCAAATCAGTCATCTCGT